ATACTGAAATTCGTATTTAATAATATTTATAAATTTTTGGCGTATCTTGTCATTCGTTGGACGCTGTACTTAATAATAATAATGTGTAAGTTATGAAAAGTATAGTCTTTACCATTTCTATTGAAACAACTTATTGATCATAAATTTGGTAACAATTTTCTAACTACAAGCCATTTACAATGAACCGAAAATTGTTACCAATTGCTAAGTTTTAAGCAAAATCAACACGTGGTGTTTTATTATTATTATTATTATTATTATTATTGGTTATGTTGGCCAACAGGTGTGAACCCAATTACAGACCAACAATAAAATTGCAAACATAATCAACAGCTAATTATTATTATTATTATTAAGTTGAGCGACCGGGCAGAGGCCGAGGCCTGTTATGCCCGCGCTGGTGAGCGGGTTCTAAATCTACTAGTGCATTACTGCGTTGTTTGGGCTCGATAGTGATCGTATCTTTTTTTAAAAACTTGTAGGGATTGACTCTGAATGACCTCGATCGGAAGCATATTCCAAGAATTAAAAACCCTGTTCGTAAGGAATACTTGACGTGGTGTTGTATAGAACTTTTGCTTTTGCAACTTGAATTTGTGTCCTCGCAGTCTAGGGTCCATGTTTATCATGTATAATTGCCGAATGGGCGATATAGGGTTTGTGAAAGCCTGAAAGGTAGTGATAAGGTCTCCTCTTATACGTCTATCCGAAAGGGTGGTTAGCTGCATTAAAGAAAGTCTTTCATGGTACTGCGGTCTGACTCTACCAAAAGGCCTTCTGGTAGCTTTACGTTGCACGGATTCTAGCAAGTGGATATCACGTTGCAAGACTGGGGTCCATATTGAATTACCAAACTCTAAAATTGGTCTTACAAAGGTTTTGTACAGTTTAGAAAATGCAACTGGGTGTATTCTAGAAAATGCCTTCCCCAAGAGAAACAGTACTGAGTTCGCTTTCTTGACAGTACGCGCTATGTGGTCAGACCACGTTAGTTCTTGGTTTATGAAGATACCCAAGTCCCGACAGCACTCAGTTTTGGCTAATTCGTTTCCACCTAAATAGTACTTACACTTTGGGTTTTTCTTTCCGATATGAAGCACCTAACATTTCTCACAATTCAGTGGAAGTAACCAATCTTTAGACCAGTTGTATATTGCGAGCAAGTCCTTTTTCAAAATTATATTTTTACAGCTATTATTATATAATTTGATGTCATCCGCGTACATTGCAAATGGCGACTCAATACTGATTTTAAGGTCAGCAGTATATGCAATAAAAAGTAGAGGGCCCAAAACCGAACCTTGTGGTACTCCACTTAATAATTTTACTGGTTTGCTGAGACTGTTTTCTACTTTAACGCGGAAGGTACGATCAGTTAGGTATGCATCAATCCAATTGTAAAGCTTACCCGATATACCGAGGTGCTTGATTTTGTGAAGTAGTCGGCGCTTGGGAACCCGGTCAAATGCTTTGGAGAAATCTAAATATAGTACATCTAGTGAGTTGCCACCATCATTCTCCTTAGTCCAGTCTGATAGACAACATAACAGGTTTGACTGAATGGATTTGCCAGGTAAAAATCCATGTTGCTCTATTGGGATTAATTGATGTTCATTTAGAAATTTTATTAATTGGTCGTATATAATGGATTCCATAAGTTTGATAATAATAGAAGTCAGACTGATTGGCCTGTAGTTGTTAGCATTGAATTTGTCACCCTTCTTGAAGATAGGTCGGATTAAGGCGGTCCGCCAGTCAAGAGGGAGCAGGCCAGAATTAAACGACTGAGTCATGAGAATGCCTAAAGGTTTACAGAGGGTATCAGCACAGTTTGATAAGCATTTGGCTGTGATAAGATCTGGTCCTGGAGATTTGGAAGCGTCTAGACTCGCCAGCTTTTTGTGCACCACGGTAGGGGTAAATACGATCTCGCTAAGTGATGTAGGGTTGCTCGAACCGAGTATTTTGGGGATATGACCAGGAGGCTCATTTGTAAACATGTGAGAAAAAGCATCCGCGAATGTATCCGCGATGTCTTTACTATTTTCTATAATATCTCCGAAGGGACTTTGGATCTGTATCTTACCAACAGGACCCGAGAGCTTAGTATGGAGATATTTATACAGCCTTTTAGTGTCTTTAGACTCCGCGATGTTTGATTCGTAAACGCATCTGGCCTCTTTGATAGTGGCCGATAGTCTGTTTGAGAACTTCCTATGAGTCTTGTAATCACATTCGGAGCCAGTTCTTTTGTATACACGCCACAGCGTTCTTTTGTTCCTTATTAAACTTAAGATTTTTGCATTAATCCATGGCTTTTTGGATGATCTTTTATCGTTAACGAAGGTGGTATGTCGTGCAACAGTACTGTGAAGACAGCTCTTGAAAATTGTCCAGTTGTCAGTGACTAAAGATTTGGATAGCAATGAACGCCAGTCGAATTTACTTAGGCCCCGATTAACTGCATTATAGTCTATTACTGCCCTCTTTAATGAGACAGTTCTCGTCCGAGATGACTTGCAAATTTGGAGGTCAACTGTTAAAACGATATGATCCGATTTTCCGATTGGGTCTAGATAATCAAGGTTAGTTAAGGAATGTTCATCCGATGTTATTACAAGATCAAGCGTGGAGGGGCTCTGACCGAGTCTGTATCTCGTGGGTTGGGTTACCAACTGATTTAAGTGTGTACTTGTTATCATGTCGACAAGAAACTGCGACGAGGGTTTATGATGTCGACTGGGGTCAATTGGCCAACGTATGTCGGCCATATTAAAGTCACCAAAAATGAAAACTTTTTCATGAGCAGCCGTTAAATTGAGGATCAGTTCTATTAGAGTTCTGTCATTATCAATAGAAGTTGAGGAAGGTCTATAGATGCACCCTAGAACAAAACTAGTGGTATTTGTAGTTAATTCTAGAAACAGCGATTCAACGCCACCTAAATCAGTACCAATGTCTTTAATGTGAAATTCTGAAAATATTTGGTCAGCTAAATAGATACAAACTCCGCCTCCTTTACTCCGATTTCGGTCGCTACGGTAAATTGTGTATCCGTCCAAAGCAATGATGCCATCCGGTACTGATGCGGATAACCAGGTCTCTGTCAGTATGATAATAGAAGGTTTATCTTCCTGAACAAACGCATTTAGGTCGTTATACTTTGCCATCAGAGAAGCTATATTAGTGTAAGCTATTGAGCAAACAAAGTAATTATTGCTGTTATGTACGAGTTTGAATTTTACGAATAGAAAAGAATTGGAGAAAAGATCAAGATCTAGCGAGTTGGTGTACCGTAAGTTTCAAATAAATTGGAAACGTTGTTTTCTGGGTCATCTGTCAGGTAGCTGCAAGCTTTTTTAATTCTTTTCTGAATGTTCTTACAACGACTTTTAGCAGCTTTGTGACACAAAAGAGGGTAGATATCATATAACATGTCGAGTGCACCTTTAGTATCATGTGTGTATTTGTTAACAAGTCCTAAAATGTTGGGTTCGCCATTTGATTTTTCAAAAAAGTCTACAATTTCATCAAAACTTAGTGGGTATTGGGCATTATTAATCAATTCCTTGGCTGGTAATAGCATTTCGGGGATGGGAGTGAGGCTCTCAGTTGAGTCAGAGGGTCTAATTCTTTTTTGTCCCCTTTGATCGCCAGAGTTATCCACAGTTCGTTGTGATAGGTCAAGAGGGGGTTGAACTGGTTGCTCCTCAGGTAACGGGCGTTTCTCGCCAGTGAACTGAGGTGTCGAAGTTGTAGTGTCAAGAGGGGGTTGAACTGGTTGCTCCTCAGGTAACGGGCGTTTCTCGCCAGTGAACTGAGGTGTCGAAGTTGTAGTGGAAGTGTCCATTTGGGCGCAAGTTTCTGTTTTATTGGGACAGTCACTGACAAAGTGTCCCGTGGCTTTACATCTGAAGCAGACATCGTCGTAGCTGAGGAATACTCTGTAGTTCGTGCCATCGTATTTTATGACCGTAGAGGATGGTAGTTCAATTGACTCATTAGGCTGAACGTAAATTTGACGTCGAAAGCTTAGAATGTGCTTAAATTGGTTACCTTCTATACTCGCCTTCAGGTAAGATATTTTCGAGACGGCAGTTAAGCCTACAGTTTGCACAAGATTTTCTAAGATACTGTTAGGAACCGAAGGGCAAACATTAGAAAATATAATTCGTCGTGCAGGGTTCATTAGTCGTCTCACTGTTATTTCGGACTCATTTATTTTTACGGTTGAATGCTTAGCTACAAATTCGTCGACTAGGGCTTTGGAACTCAGGTAAATGCAAACACGGCCATTGGACATTCGTGATGCAAAGGTAATATTCTCAGGTTGCACTACATCAGCTATAGCGACAACATAGTCGGTCAGCTTTAGATTATCGACAGCATTTAGAACTATCGCCTGTTCTTTTGTTGGGGGTTGGGACGAAGAAGTTGCCATATTTTATTTTGATTTAACTTCGGCTAAGTCAAGGGACTGGTCTCGCCTTGCCGCGCCGTACGGCAAACGGCTGAGCACTCAGCCGATTCGGTGTAAAAACAAATCGCTGGCAGATTAGGAGGGGCAAAAAGTTGTATGCGAAAGAGATTGACGAAGGGAAACATGAAATTTGCTTCCCTTTGGTATAAACTCTTGTGCTGATTTTAGCACAGCGCGTTGGACGGTACTGTTGCCTTATGCTGGTTAGTTTAAAACCTTTTATTTAGGACAAACTCACCGGCATGGAGAGAAAATATCGGGAGCCAAGATATACTGCTAGTTCACTCAGTACTCAGCACTCACCTTTTACTGCTTTACTCAGATAAGAATAGTTAAGCAATTCAAACGCAGGTATAATATTAAATTTATCTATTGTATGCAGAAAAACAAAGGGACAGGTAGAAAGAGAAATGGGAGAGCCAGAAAGAGGAGAAATATTATTATTTTTATCTAAATATATCAAAGGAATTCTGAAGTAGGTTATATTGATTACACATCTCATAAATAGGAGAGTATTTTTCTATATTAAGACGAGGTGTTCGCAGATAAAAACAGGGGTGAGAACGAGCAGACGATCTAGGAACGAAGAACGATAATTTGCTGAGAAGATCAGAACAGTCAATATCAAAATTTATTAACTTTTTAAGAAAGATTAACAAAGCCTTTATTCGTCTAGTATTCAGATCCTCCAACTCAAATCTTGAAAGAAGTGCCGAATGAGGAGATCCTCTGGCTGGGTAAACACCATCCACCCTATATGCCAAGTATTTTAGAAGACGACGCTGAACTTTTTCAACTGCCTGGATATGACATTGTGTAAACGGTGACCATACTATACTAGCATACTCCAGCTTCGATCAAACATAAGCAGAATATAAAACTCGCATGCAACCAATGTCCTTAAAATTCCTGCTGCATCTAATAATAAAGCCTAGTGACTTTAGGGCTTTTGAACACATGTTGCTAATATGATTCTCAAATGTCAATTTGGAATTAAAGAAGACTCCTAAATCATAATGTGTCTCCACTCTGGTTATAAGTGAATTGCTTAAGCTATAATTAAACATTATTTGCATGCTTTTATTAGTGATGGACAAGATTTTGCATTTACTGTAATTTACAGGAAGGAAATGGGAAGAACTATAGCTTAGAAAAATATCAAGATCATTCTGCAAAATAATACAATCTTCAACTAATGTAATTTGTCTGTAAATTTTTAAGTCATCAGCATAAATTGAAACATTTGACTTAATGTTCTTAACGATATCATTGATGTATATGACAAACAACAGAGGTCCCAATACTGAGCCTTGAGGCACACCAGAGGGTACAACAGTAATTATCGACTCATGACCTTGATATTTGACACGCTGTAATCTACTACACAAATAAGAACCAATTAGCTTAATGAGAGAATCAGAAAAGCCAAAGTTACACAATTTTGCTAACAGGATATTATGATTAAGTTTGTCAAAAGCTTTAGAATAATCGGTGTAAACTACATCAACCTGAAGTTTTGCATCAAGTTGGTCAGCTGCAAACTGCGTAAAAGCACACAAATTTGTAACAGTAGACCGGCCAATGACAAATCCATGCTGAGAATCACTAATTAAACTGCGAATATTGAAAAAGAAAGATTTATGCAACACCGTTTCAAAGATCTTGGCGAAGTTACATATCAAAGATATAGGTCTGTAATTTTCCACAGCAGTTCGTTCGCCACATTTAAATACGGGAGAAATTATGGACAATTTCCATACATCAGGGAAAGTGCACGTCTTTAAGATTAGATTAAATAATATGGAAAGAGGATAAGCCAACACAGCTGCACAATCTGACAATAAGAAAGCAGGAATATTGTCATGACCCGATGTATTATTCGCTTTTATTTGCTTAAGAGCACAAAGGACCTCGGATTCAGAAATAGATGTTAAGTTGAAACTTGTGTTTGAAGCTCCGTCAAGAAAATTATCAATATTATCAATATTACAAGTATTATAGTTGCTAGAAAAATGTTCTGCAAAGGCATTAACGATGTCAACAGGTTTTGTTAATAACTTATCAGAGTACATCATCTGCGAAGGAATGGCATTAGAACTATTTAAATTATTAACGTAAGACCAAAACCTGCGAGGTTCAAACTTGATTTTAGCTTCAAGATTAGATGTGTAGTTGACAAAAGCAGCTTTTATATCCCGTTTAAGTTCAGATCTAACTCTTTTAAAACGACTATATGTTCCCACACTTTTCCTTAATCTGAAATTACGAAGCAGCCTCCATTTAAGTTTTAAATTGCTGATGATTGCAGCCGTGAACCAAGGAGGAAAAGATGATTTCCGTAAGCGATGGGTTTTCGGAACATGCAATTCAAGTGCCATGTTAATCTGATCATAAAAAAGAGAGCAAGCCTGATTGACATCATTAATGTTATTAAGGAACTCCCAATTGGAATCTGTCAAATATTTATATAAACCAGGATAATCAGCTCTTCGAAAATTCCACTGTTTATGAGCAGATCTATTATTATTTATGGATTTCTGTCTTGGTTTCTGCCGCTTTATAGTGATCAAAAGGGATGGGTGATGAAGATCCTCATTAACCAGAGAATCAGAAGCCTTTTCAACTAAACAGTGGAATCCTGAAATCACTAAATCGAGACACCGCCCATTAGCATTGATGATATTGTTAAACTGTCGGTAATCACAAAAATACAAAAAGTTATATAAAGATGACAGAGGACTATTACCCGTTACAGAACCAGATGAACTGTATTGATAATTAGAAATATTAAAATCCCCAATTAGGAGAACACGCTGATTATATAATTCAGTTGTGGCAGAGATTAAATGAAATAACAATTCATATTCCTCGACATTGGCTTTAGGTTGTATGTAAATTACGAAAATATAGATAGTGAAACTGGCTGCAGAACATTTGACACAAACTAAATCCGTGAATTATTATTATTATTATTATAGAAGTAGAAGTAAGGCGGCAAAATGCCGATGCACTTCATTACAAAGTCAGAGTGTGCATTAATACAAGATAATATAAATAAATATGAATACAATAATAATATAAATTTAAAAAGAGCTAGAAAGAATTGGAAAAGTGGGCGTCAAGTCGGTTCTTGAAGGCATTGAGTGACGAGGCTGCGATGACATCATCCGGCAGAGTGTTCCACAAATTTGGTATTCTGTTTGTGAGGAAGTGTTGCCTACACAATTTGTAAAACCGTTCACGTACTAGCTTCAGATTGTGTCCTCGTAGGTGTAGATTAGTGCTGAGTACAAACAATGATAAATGACACGTATAGTGACCATGCAATATTTTGTATGTCTCAATTAAATCGCCACGAATTCGTCGAGCAGTCAAAGAAGATAAGTGAAGGGCAGTAAGTCGTTGTTCATAGGGGAGATGTTTTAAAGCAGGCGACAGTTTAGTGAAACGTCGTTGTGCCTGTTCTAGGATATGGATATCACCAGCAAAGTAAGGATTCCACACTGGGGCGGCATAATCAAAAATTGGTCTGACATACGATTTATAGATGCGTTCTAGCAAAGCAGGATAAATATTTTTAAAACTGATAGCAACTAAGTACCGCAGCGAGTTAACCTTTTTAACCACAGCACCAATGTGGAATGCCCATTTGAGGTCACTTGATATAATAACACCTAGATCTCTTTGTTGTTTTACAGATTGCAATTCAATTCCGTTAAGATAATATGATTTATGTGGATTGTTTGACCCAATATGTAATACAGTGCATTTAGCTTCATTTGTGGATAGTAACCACTTGTCACACCAATCTTCCACAAGTTTGAGATCATTAGAAAGAGCATCTGGATTCTCGAGAGGATTTGAAAATATCTTTGTATCGTCAGCAAACAACGCGGATGGACAGTTAAACAAGGAGGCAAGGTCACTAACATAGATGTTAAATAAGATGGGTCCAAGCACGGACCCTTGTGGAACACCGCTAAGAACCGGTGTAGCTTGTGAATGTTCAGTGAGAATCTTAACTGTAAAGGTACGATTTTGAAGAAATTCCGCTATCCACCTCAGTGAGTCACCGCGAACACCATAATGTTCCAGTTTTAGTAGTAATCTGCGAATAGGAACACGGTCGAAAGCTTTTTTAAAGTCAAGATAAACAATGTCTATTGGCTGATTATTGTCTACAGCCTTGGTCCACTTGTTAAGGCACTCTAGAAGGTTAGATATTGTAGATCTACCGGGAAGGAAGCCATGCTGGTTGGGCTTGAGGATATTATTGTTCACACAAAACTCAGTTAGTTGTTGGCTAATTATTTTTTCCATAGATCTACAAAGCAACGATGTTAAACTAATAGGTCGAAAGTTTGCTGGATTAAGCTTATCACCTTTTTTGTAGACTGGAATAACTGTAGCAGACCTCCAAACATTTGGTACAGAACCTACAGAAAGTGATTGTTGCATTATTGCAGCGATTGGCTTAGCTAGAACTGAAGCACATTTGTTGAGTAATATAGGATGAAAACCGTCTGGTCCAGGACATGAGTCTAATTTAAAGGACTGGAGTACTCTCAAAACTTCTGGTTCCGTAAAAATAACAGTATGAATATTGTTAATTGACCGGGTATTTGGACATAAAGAAGGCAAAGCACCGGGCGGTTCAGACACGTAATTATGTTCGAATTCAATGGCAAACGAATCAGCTATGGCTGATGGTAATGTCAATACATCACCATCAGATGATCTTAAACGAAGTGTACGTACTTTACTTGTTAGGGTTTTGTTAATATATTTGAAGAATTCCTTGCTGCTTTTAGTTGCAAGATTCATCTCGTAGCTAGATTTTGAAGATCGAATTGCTGTCTTAAGTTTATTACAAACCGCACGATATTGCGAATAATGTTCGTTGTCATTACTGCGCCTATATTGAAGCCACATTTTTTTCTTTTCTCGAATTAGATATTTAATGGTGTTAGAAATCCATGGTTTGTCCCTAATTCTGATGTTACGAACTGGAACAAAGCGTTCAACTGAAACGTTTAACAATCGCTCGAGAGTATTGTACATGATTTCAAGAGACATATTGAAGTTAATTGAATCCAGTTCAGACCCAGATAAGTAGGTTTTTATAGCCTCAAAATCAGCTAGACGGTACATTTTTTTACATATAGTTCTACCATGACTGCTATCTAGAAGGAATTGTAACTTTGAAAGAAGAACGACATGATCGCTTATACCTATTGGAGGAAAATATTCTGTAGTCGAAACAAGCTGACGATCATTCGTAAATATTAAATCCAGAGTTGAAGGTCTGTCATTATTTCTGAATCGAGTCGATTCAAGTATTAGTTGGTGCAGATTAGAATTCAGATAAAAGTTCATAAAGTTTGCCGCCTGAGTATTACCATCCATTAGGAGGGGCACGCGCCAATTGAGCGTTGGAAAGTTGAAATCTCCACAAATTATTAAATTATTAAGGTTTACACTGGCAAGTGTTAGAGCCTGAATTAATGATAAATCATTATCAAATGATGTTGAAGGTGAACGATATATGGAAGCCAGATGGAGTGTGATATTAGAGATTGTAATTTTTAGCCATAAGGATTCTATGTGAATTGTAGAATATTCATCCAAAAGATCGACATCTATTGGGATTTTATTTAAAGTGTTTAAGACATAAATGCAAACTCCACCACCTTTGCAGTAAGTGCGGTCACTCCTATATACCGAATAACCAGGGATATTTATTATAGAATCAGGAATAGAAGAATTAAGATATGACTCCGTTATGAGAATAAACGTAGGAGATAAATTGGAAACTGACAAGAGAAACACTTGTCAGTTTCCAATTGTGAATTGCAACGATCCAAATCCTCGAGACTGTAAATCTATCTGAGATACTGTATATTCACAAGTAGCAGCTAACAGGACGCCTCCCCCTTTTGAAACATTCATTTTTTCAAAGTTCCTATCAGATCTAATAACTTGGAAATGATCTGGACAAAATTCAGAGTCAAAAATCGAAGAGCTAAGCCAAGTCTCCGTAATGCAGACAAAATCAAAATCACAACAAATCATTGAATTACGTAAGTCAGCCAGTTTGGAATTTAAACCTCTAGCATTTTGATAGTAAACTAGAATATTAGGAGAGCGAGTATGAGAAGAAGAATATACAGATACTGATCGTGTAGAAGAAGTCAGGGAAGCGTTGATGTTAATGTGTGAAGCTAAGCTTTCCCAGGAAGAACTTAAATCCTGATTTGTTGTGAAGAAGAAAGGTACATCCTCGGATAATATGGAAGTTGATTGCTATGCCGATAGTCGAAAGAGATCTTGTTTTATTTTGTTGATGGCCGTGTTATATGCATGACAACTATCGCGGTCCCATGCAGCATGATCGGTATTAATAAGCTCAGAAGTACCAGTACCTTTTATGTTTTTACAATTAATACAGCAAAGAGTCTCTGCTTTACACTCACTTAACTCATGCTTATCAGTACAACGAGGACAACATAAATTATTTTTGCAGTATTTAGACGAATGATTGAAACCATTGCACTTAAAACAGCGGGAAATATCGATACCACAAAAAATTGAACAGCTATTTAAACCAATTAAGCAATGACCAATGCTAACGGCTTTTTTATAAGTGGGAATATCTACTTCGATAACTGCTTGGAAGCGATCAGACTTATTTTTTACAGGAGAGTATTTTAATAACTTGTATTCGTTACTGTTATCAAAGATAAATTCATTCTGTTTAGTCAAATAATTTATAACACTGTCTTTATCAACATCATCAGATAAACCAGCTATTCTAATTCGAGGACCCAGCGTTTTAATTTCGCGAATATCATAGGCAGAAGAAAGTTTATTTTTCGCTAATTGTGTAAATCGCTTAACATCATCACATTTAGTAGAAATGGCAAAGACAGTACGATAGAATTAATACTATTTTGAAAGCAATTTTCTTGTTTGAAATACAGTTAAAATATAAAGCACTTTTCAAAGTTAAGAATTGCAATTGCTCAAATGTATATATTTTATTTTTATGTTTTGCCTTTTTTTTCTTAATATACTTACATAGCCATCTTTTCACAACAAGATACTTAAAACATGGTTAAAATAGTACATTTTTGCAAGAAAATATGGATTTTGCAATTATGGGGCGGAGCTTAATTGCAAAATCGATATTTCCTTATACAAATTTTCCATTTTAAACATGTTTTAAGTTCCATGTTGTGGTGACCGAATTTGAATCAAATTTTCGCGCTGAAATTAATTAACAGGGGCACGAAATCACATTCGAACAATTCAAATAAAAAAAATCGTTAAACATAAGCAACCATGTGCACGTTAGCGCTTTGTGGGTAGTTGGTAGCTCTCTAGGGGATGTTTTAGTTAGAGGGCGGTAGAGTAGACAAGATGAAAGCGTCAGCATTGTTTGGTTGTGTGATCATGGTGAAAAGACGCTGTAAGTTAGCTAGATTAAATTAGTTGGTTTGGTAGTTAATAAAAGGGAGGAAGCCTTTGTTTAACGAAAATTAATCGTAACGATGACGTCCCAGTTTTCCCCAATATGCGCAGCTAATTCTTGCGGCTTTCTAATCGGAAAAAGTGTTAGTTTTCGACCGATGATACACGTGCTGTAAATTTGTTTTATTGTTTGTAAATTCACCGATCAGGTTAGAATTTTAATCGTTAACTGGTGCTAACACAATTTAACAGACACTTACTAGGAGATTTCATGAAATTCACTTGGTCAGGATAACACCCTTTGTCTAATTATGAATAAATTTCTAGATGCTAATACGAAAGTGTTACATTATACTTTTTGATTCTTCACACAAGATTGCTAATGGTTCATTTACGGCAGTTAAATTAATATAACGTTGGCCCACTGTGGAAAAAGACCGCAGAACTCATAATATCGTGGGCTGAGGTACTGGGGGTTAAAGATTTATCACCTTAGCCAGTTATCATCGTTATTATCATCATCACATTACCTAGATAATTTTCTCG